AATTCACTCCCTTTTGAAAGTTCGGACGTTATTGTTAAATTTCATCAAAAAAGACACGCTTTAAGTGATCTTGAGTCATTCCACGAAGTCAACAAGTTTATACGAACTCATCATCTCAAAGTATTTGGTTATTGGACCTGGTCCCATAAGGGAGGGACTTTCAAAGCTTGCGTTACTTTCAATGATAGTAGGTTGCACGTGGTTTGGCAATTTCTAGGATATGTGTGAGTTAAAATTACTCTATATTTATATGAATTAATACTGAAAGTGATGATGTTAAATATTTAAATGCTACTCATAAGGTTTTATAGCATAATGACATCTTCTTAGACGTTTTCTCGACCCTAGGTTAATGTTTATGTCGCGTTTATTTATATCTAACGAAGAAACAAGCATCAGTGTACATTTTGCAGTCTACGGTGTGTAATTTTCAGTTTATCGTTACATTGTCTGACTTTAACCTGTAGTCCTTATATTATTAGGCAGTTAAATAATAAAAATCGCACTTTTGCGTGTTTTCTGTGTCAGTACATTCTGTCATCCTCATGTTATATTTCTTTCTCAACAACTATTTGTATTTCCACCTAGTTAACAATTAACTACACTTATTTCGTTGTACCTGGTAGTACTACCTTGTTGTCCCAACGCATCATCCAGTGGTTCAAAGTCGAGTGATTACACTAACGAGACACAATCTGAATGTTTAAATAATATTAGGTAACCGGCTAAAATGCATAAAAGTGTTATAGGCACCCGTTAATTTTTCAGTGAACCACTCATTAAACGTCAAATTGCATCACTTTATGTGACGTATAATTCAGTGTATGTGATATTCCAATGCAAATACCTTAGAATATTTTTTTTGTATATAATCTCTCTTGTTAAATGTTATATGATAACATTAAAAATAAGACGTCGGTCGCTAAATAAGGAAAAAGTAATCGATACGGTTGTGAAGCTACATTGATTGAGAATGTTCAGACACGTGTCACACATGTCAAGCCATCGCCTTACTCATAAAGCAATGTTAGCTGATATAAGATTCAGATGGAGAATAATGACGAGCGGTCAAATCAAAATTTCGGATCTATCCATGAAGTTTCTAACTGTTGGTTTCAGACATATAAGGAGGTGTAGACTATCTGACTGGGATCCTTACAAGGCTAAATAGCAGTGACTGGAGATTGTTTTAGATAGGTCTTTAAATCATTGTCAATGGTACAAATGCATTTACTTCTTGTAGTCTCTCATTATTCTTACTCCCGTACTTTTCCCCTCATCATAGATTCAGATTCGTTGGTTTAGGATAAAAGGCTTAGAGTCTATGTCAATCCTTTTCTAGTAAATTTCTGTGCTTGTCCAAACGCTTCTTGAATGAATCAGTTGAGGTTGCAGACACCAGCTCTTCTGGGAGTCGGTTCCAGGTGTTTATGACTCGGTGTGAGAACCAGTACTTCACAGCAATGTAGTTTCTCCTTGACTTTTGAACTCTCCTGCTATGTTGTATAAGGTATCCCGACCTGGTGAGAAGGAAAAGAGAGAATAGATCAGGTCCGTATTCATTATTTGATATTTTAAACATTGTCATTAAATCTCCTCTCTGCCTACGGTATGACAGGGAGAAGAGATTTAAACTGTCTAGTCTTTCCTCGTATGATAAGTTAGTCATGCCGTAAACGTGTTGTGTTATCGTCCATTGTATCTCTTTCTGTACCTTTATGTACTACATAGTGTTGCAACTTGAACTGCGGCGCTTTTGTGTGAAGTTGCACGTTGAATATTCAGTCAATCTCTGATATTCTAAAGTTGTGGTAAGGGTTGATTAAATTATACCCCGTCCATTTATTATCTTGAATAAAGAAAATACGAACATATTTGCAGGATAATACGAACTTGTTTTTATTTCGTGGATTCTCTTCAACTGCGTACATCCTAAACAATATCAATTGTAAGTTGTAAAATGATGTCTGGACATACTTTTCTCACAGTGATTTCAACTTATAGACAGAAAGTATAGGCAACATAATGCCAAAATGGAATTATTCTCTACCACAGTGCCTAGGTTCTATTCTTATATCAATTATGTTAGTAGACGAATTATTCAGTGTTAAAAGAGTAACTATTGATAAAATAATTAGACAAGGGGGAGAGTAGAGTTGAGATTTCGCTTGGAAACAAGGATAAACTAGAGACAAAATACAAGATCGAACAACAGAGTGAATTTATGCATATTATGATGGAGAGATCAGGTAAACTAATTTAATTTAGTAGATTCGGGAAATTAGTAGTGAGTTCAGCTCAGTAAGTGAAAATCATAGTCGAAATTAAGTGGAACGTTATGCAACAGAACAAAACACAAAAGCACATGAACAAAACACTTATGGTTACCAGGGTGTGAGAGAATCGTTACTCAATCTTTCTGTATGCAGAGGTTAGGTTGACAGCAATGGTTTCCGCGAACAAAAGTAACAATGGTTTTATTTGAGTATTGATTATTTTAAAAGCCTGAATAATTTCCACTGTATGTCCCGTGTTGTCAGTTAGATGTCTAACAGTTGCCACGTTTTGTGCCAGCCACTTAATGGACACACTCTGATGAGACCAATAAGTGCCATCATGCACAGCTCATGTCTTCGAGGGGCACTCGATTGGAAAGTGATGAGATGGGCGTTAATCCAAGAGTATCATGGAGGAGATAAAAGATTATTAGCGATCGTGCAGACAATTGAAAAATACTTCAGCTAACAGGGTGAAATGGATATGTGCTGTTGAGGCCCCTATATTCCACTTGAAACCCAAGGGAGGTCACTGGTTTGAATCTTTCACCTTCATCATCATCAACACAAGACTTTCTTGGAGAGACTCATTATTACTTATAACATATATCACCAAGTTGTACCACAAGAGGATGCACCAGTTACAAAACCACTGAATACCACAGAGTACTGGACGACTACTTCGTGCTAGTTTAGAAAATTTGGCAAGAGTTAATAATAGAAATACACAATTAAATGACCCTGAACCAACCAATCGCTCAACGTTACAAAACGATGCTTTTCGTTGTAAGTTTCACCCTGACTTAGGGTTAGGGCTAGAGTTAGGGTATGATTAGGTTTGAACTAGGGTTAGGGTGAAATCTGCGGCGAAGACTGTGGACAACATCCATTTCTTCAGCCCCAACGAGTTTATCGCTGAAGATTCTCAGCACGGATACAGAAGGCTAGTTTCGCATATGCCAGTTTATGCCGTCTCTGGCGTAGACGTGATATCCGGCTGGCTGTTGATCAAAGGGCGTGTTTACTGCTCAACATCCCATCTGTCGTGCTTTATGGCTGGCTGTGAGACATGGCCATTGAAAGTGGAAGAAATAAACGTAGCTATGTTTGATAATAGGTGCCTGCATTCTATCTCCCGTGTGAAGCGGTTAGGCATCGGTCGAGTGCTAGGTAAGGAGGGGAAATCAGTCTACGAAGCTGTGAAGCTAAATTGAATGAGATTGATGGTTAGGACATGTGTTACGTATGCCAAGTCATCGCCTTCCTCTATGGGCAATGCCAGCTGACATAGGGTCAGGCTAGAAAAGAGTGAGTCAGCCACGTAGGAACGTGTAGACTTCCTTGTTGGGGTCCTCAGGATGTTATAAACCAATGGGTGGAGGCAGTTAGTTGTATGGCTGGCTCAAAATCTTCGTCCTCAATGGCGCATATGCATCCACTCCTTGTGACTTATAATACCCAATGAAAGTATGTTGTTCTTCGTTATTACTATTTCTTTTGTCTCATATCCCTGTTTGCTGTCTCTGTTTTGCATTTTTTTTACTTTCTCTTGCTTTGTATGCTACATGGAGGATGTGTGGCGACTTGAACTGCTGCACATCGATGCAAAGTTCTATGCCGAAAAGACAGACAGAAATTTTTAAAAATGGCTTCATCAGTCAATGAAATGCACAACAGTTAGTTTAAGCTAGCTGTGTAGGAAGATGTAGGTTGGCTGCCTGACTGCCGTCCTGGGGATTGGTGAAAACCAATGGAGATTGGTGATGTGGCTGGCTCATTCATCAGGATTAAAGGGTCCTAAAATTGGCAGTCATACAAATTCTACCGAAGGATTTCGAGCCCATTGAAAAAACTGATTAGAATGGTCTACATTTATAACTACTCCTGTTAAAAATTGGAACATGTTATTACAGTCTATAAAATGGTTACACACTGTATAGTCCATTTTTATTATGTATATATTATTATTCCCTTGGGTTCCGAGTGGAGCATAGGGGGCTTCAACAACACATCTCCACTTTCTTCTATTTTCTTCCGTCCTCTTCAACTGGGTCCACGATTGCCCATAATCTCTCATCTCCTCCTCGCCACACGATCTCCTCCATGTCACCCTCGCACCGACGAATCACTTGTCGCTTCCCATTCGGATTCAACTAAAATGCATTGCAGGTGATGTCATTCGATGGCCTCAACGTATACCCGATCCATATCCATTTTCTCCTATATATTTGTTGAGCAATCAGCTCTTGGTTGATTTGTTGCCAGAGTTTCTTGTTAATTCTCTCTGGTCATATCCATTCCATCTGCTCTCATTGATTCCCAGCACTTCTATATCATATTTTCTCATTTTTTTGGTTACCTAGGCAGCCTTTCCAGCTACCCTTGTACATTTGACGTACATTCCACGCCCACATTCTTATTCTTGCTTTCATGGAGAGAAGACACATCGGCTGGCTGACTCACTGGCTTTCACCAGCTCGCTGTGTTATTTCACCTCTCCGATTCCAGCAAAGAATAAGTTTGACTTTTTTTTACAGTTTTTTGTATTTTTAATGTCTTTCTTGTCCGTTAAAGTTTCTGTAGCAGTTTGATAATTTTTTTTGGGGCGGGGTAGAGTCACTAGCCCCATGCCCAACCCTTCCTCTTTACTCGGACTTGAGACCGGCTAGAAAACTAGCGAACTAGTATGCTTTTCACCCTAAAGAATATAATTGGTTAGTTCAAGGTCATTTGACTGTGGTATCTTTTCTTTACTATTGTCGGAATCTTCAGCAGTACTCATCTACGGTCCACCAGGGATCGAATCCTTTATCTCCCAGTCAAGATGCCAGTCTACTGATCGTTCAACTAGTCGGACAGAAACTAATGACTTATGAATTATTCCAACTTCATGGTATATAGGTGCTAACGCCATGCTAATGTCGTTGACGAGCAGTAACTGATGGGATCATGGATGCACGTACTGATGAAGAGTCCAATATTGTGGGTGAAACAACTGTACATTAATTTTCAACTACTGGTTTTGTAGGGATTTTGTTTGATTGTATGGAGGATTTCATCTAGATGAGCTGAAATCAGTTAGAGAACCATTGGAAAACCAGCCCCGGAGTACTGGACAGCTGTTTCATCCTAGTTTGGGACTTCTCATCAGTACGTACCCACCGGGGGAGGCGAACCTAGGACCTTCTGGTTACAAGCCACTCACTGGAGCCTGATCCAATGGCCAGTCCATGAATTCTAACTTCTGGCAATTCATGACATAGCGCAACCATTTCGCGCAATGTCTTCTTCTCCGATGAGTTACCTCCTGCTTCCTATTGTTTGTTTTCATTGCTTTTCATTTTCTTATCAAATTTTTGTTATATTCTAATATTTTTAGAAGAAGAAAAAGAAGAAGAACAAAAACAAGAAAGTCACCGAATAATTATGCTTGAAAGACATTCAAATCCACCAGTTGGCCTGGAACGTGTTCATCGATATTTTTGTTATGTTTGTGGTACTCTATTACCGCATAAACTAGAAGCGAATGATTCATTAATTTGTCGAAAATGTAAAACATCGACATATATGCGTTGGTTTCACAATATGGAGGCAAGTTTTAATACAGAGAGTAAATTAAAAAAGAATAACACAGTTGACGGGATCGATGTCCGTAATGATGGCGATGCCGAGGAATCAACGTGTTTATTTTTTCCATCAATGATAAAAGGGGCTAAAAAAATTCTCAAATCTGAAATTGCCTTAAAACAAGCTTTAGAAGCACAACAATTTGAAAATGACACACCTCAGGCGGCGACAACCACATTTGATGGGCCAAGTATACGTAAAGAATGCGCTTATTGTGGTAATGACAGGATGACTTATGTAACATTACAAACTCGTTCAGCAGATGAAGGACAAACGGTTATTTATACTTGTACACAATGTGCTAAAAAAGAGATTGAAAATACATGAATTATACATAAATATGAATGTGTATGTTGTTGACTCATTTAATCCCCAGAAGAGGAACATAGAGCTTCAGGTGGACGCACATCTCCATTATTATTATTATTATTGTTTCCTTTAACTCCTAGAGGAACATAGGGCTTCAGCCATGCGTCTCCATTGCGTTCGGTTCTCTGCTAGAGTCTTCACCTGGCTCCAAGTCTGCCCACACGTTTTCATCTCCTCTTCACATGACCTCCTCCAGGTCACCCTTGGACGACCAACTCGTCGCTTCCCTTTCGGGTTCCACTAGAGCGATGGCTTGTCTAGTGATGTCACTTGCTGGTTTCCTCAGAGTGTGTCCAATCCATCTCCATTTCTTCCTGCCTATTTGTTTCACGATCGGTTCCTGGTTGGTTCGCTCCCAGGGATCTCTGTTATTGATCTTTTCTGGCCATCTGATCTTGAGTATTGAGCGAAGACAACTGTTAATGAAGGTCTGTAGTTTGTTTGAGATGCTCTTTATGACGCGCCAAGTCTCTGATCCGTATAGTAGTACTGACTTCTTATTGGAGTTGAAAATCCAGATCTTATTTTTGATGCTGAGTGTTGTCGACCTCCACACAGACTTGAGAGTAGTGAAAGCTTGTCTTGCTTTTCCGATTCTTGCTTTGATATCCTCGTCAGTTCCGTTCGCCTGTAGTTGAAACGATGCTTCCCAGGTAGGTAGGTAAAGGAGGCTGTTTCTTTCAGGTTCCTTCCATTTATGCTGATTGTTGTCTGTTGTTGTTGTTCTTGTCCAGGAATCTTCATCACCTCTGTTTTCTCTATGTTCACCTGAGGTCCTATCTTCTCTGGATGCTTCTTCTTCTATCGCCAACTTGTTGCTTTTCGCTTACATATCTTCCAGTTTGTGGGAAATCAGACATATATCATCAGCAAAGTCTAGATCCTCCAAGTTTTTTTGTGTGAGTCCATTTTATGCCTGTTTCCTCGTTTCCCGGCCCGCTGTTTGTCGCATTATCCAGTCTACTGGAATCAGGAAAATCATTGGCGATAGTAGGCAGCCTTGTCTAACTCCTGTCCTCATTTCGAAGGATTCCGTTCGCTGTTCTCCGACAACATTTTCATCCAGCTTCACGTCTGTCCACATGCTTTCTTCTTCGGTTTACATCAACCTCCTCCACCTCTTCCTCCATGTCACTCTCACACTGACCACCAACTAGCTCACCACTTACCATTCCATTTTCCACTCGAGCTATGGCCTGATTCGTTCTTTTCTGGTCATCTGATTTTTGCAAAAACGTTTGGTGTATATGTCATGGAAAATTCTCACTGGGATATTTGGAAAATCAAAACAAGTGATTCAGTAAAGAGACTCTTTTCAACAAGAGAATTTATTATCAACCAGTACAATCGTGTGTGTATATATATGGTTTTCCTTAAGAAATTATATCCGGCGAGGGAATCGAATCATAGGTGTGAATACATTAAAAATAATAATAATAATAATAGTAGCGTAGCGACAGAAGACAAAGGCCAGGCAACAGATCGTTTATTAAGGAAAATCAACACATATTTATAGATTTTAATGTACATTATTGTAGATTATTGTTAGTAGAAAATACAGTCTTTTGATTGGTTGTTTCTCACAGAAAGTTAACCTTGCATCTCTTTGTGGCTGTGTCAGATCATCCTTATGCTGACTGTATCCGCCTACGCAAAGTCTTTGTTCTCATTTTCTCACCACCAATATTGGGGACATAAACATTGACGTCAATTACACTGTCTACCAACTTTGGCTAGCAGCCAGCTTTCACCACAATAGCAGTGTAGCGATAGAAGACAAGGGTCAGGCAACAGATCGTTTATTGAGAAAATCAACAGATATTTTTTATGTACATTATTATTCGTCTTCTGACTGGTTCTCTTCTTGCTGAAGTTTATTCTGTCATCTCTTTGTGACCCCATTTCTTAGAAAGTCAGGCTATATATATCTGCGAATCGTACTTGCACACGTTAGGTCTGTTGTGATTGGTTGTTGAGTTCCTGAAGGTTAAGCTTTTTTATTGTTTTTTCTCATGACTCCGGTTCAGGACGTTACATTGATGTCAATTGTTGTTTACAATTTTGGCTTGCAGACAGCTCTCACCACAGTAGTAGTAGTATGAAGTGCAATTCAACTTTAAGTGTTTGTGATTATAATCATGGTTTATTGTGAAGTGATAAAACAATTAATGTCATATGTATATAGAACAATTCATAGGATGTCTAGAGCTAGGCATATTGGTCGTTCGACTCGAGCTTTGTCCAAGAGGGTGCAAGAACACTACCTTGCATGGTTACGAAGAGGTGGAAGTGGAGCTATAAGAACCACGATCATTGAATATCTGGTCGACACTGGTTACCCTATCTTTACAGCCTCCGTCTTTAAAGTTATCCTCAAGGTGAGAAACAATTTGCCCAAATCACTAGGTATCCGACTCATCTGTATTGCTGAAGCCTTGGCTATCGAAACAGAAAAGCCATATCTCTCTGTATACAGAAAGTTTGTTCAACTCCTCCAACTTTCATGGTCTTAATCCCTCTATGCTAAAGTATGATAATCCCCAATCATATTTTGGCTCTACTTATTTTTCCGTTTTCTTTATTCAATTTGGTATACTCTTCCTTTATTACGTCAATTGTGTTACTATTATTGTTCTCACTTTGAATTGTTCGCGGTATTATCCCACTTGTCCCACTTATCATTCTAAATCAATTTTGTTTTGGAACGTTGAATCCTATTGTTTTCGAATGCATAAAGGTTTGGCTAAGGCTCCCACAACCTTTAGGATACTCTCCCCAAAAGACCTTCGATATACAGGTTTAAAAGACGTGTGGAAACATCAATTTTATGTCCTGTCTCTATAATATATTTCCACACAGAAGAGCCAGGTATCCTGTTGTCGCGTATTAATGGGTTTTGGGATTCAATTTGCTTCTGAAGCCACTTAGGAATATGCTCTGAAGCCAGTCCTTACTTTCAGAGATCGATGAGTCCTCTCTATATATGTGTGGCCACACGTACATTCGAATTGGGAGGTGACATCATTTTTCGCATGTTCAAAGGGCTTAGATGGATGGATATATCGGCTTCACATTCTCAATTATTATGATATTAGCTGTATAAAAAGTCTCTTTAAACACAGCAGCGTTCAGTCTTTGTGTAGTTGTCAGTCATTTAATTTAGAATGTTTTGGATGACATTTTAGAAAACCACTGTATCGTAAGATAAACTTGGCGCACTCTTAAGTATGATTGAAATCCCCACAAGTTCAGTCAAATTAGCCGATGATGGCAATATAATATATTTGAGTTTAAGCTTGATTGGGTGAAGAAAAATATGCCGAATAGGTCTACGGCGATGGTTGTGCCGAAAGCTGTTACTGGCTAGAAATAGGTTGTGATTTCTCTTTGACGTGTGAAAGACGGTCCGTGTTGTTCTCCACCTAATCGAGTTTATTCCGGGCCTAGAAATTCGACGCATACACTGACGTCTCCAGCTACCTCTACGATATCTGTTGTTCACGTATGCTTCAGAAGTTCAGTTCTTTAATAATAGAACTCGTCTGGGTTACCATCTGTTGTTGCATATTTAGCGATAACTTTTCTTTGGCCGGTTACTTCTTTTTCTAGTGTAAACTTCTAGCCTCAGGGTACATAAGTGACTGTTAATAGGAATTCAGTCGAGTAATATGACCCCATCCACCCGGCTAGACCAAATATCAGTGTTCCCAGATAAGTGTACATAAAACTTACTACCCAGCCTTGTAGATGGAGAAGATATTCTTGAAGCACTTCACTAGGATCTTGTATGTAAGTCTTTGAAATGCAACAGAAAGACTTCCCAAGATCATCATCAAACATATCTGTTGTCCTATTTGCATCAGTGTAGAAACATTGCAGATGGTAAGGTTGAATGTGACGTGGTAGAGCACGTTGACCGCTTCACTTACTTGGGAAGTACTATCAGCCCCAACGGCTTGATCTCTGATGAAATCTCAGCACGAATACAGAGGGCTAGTTTCGCATATGCCAGTTTACGCAGTCTCTGGCGTACACATGATATTCGACTATCGACCAAAGGGCGTGTGTATTGCTCAGCAGTTCTCTCCGTTCTCCTTTATGGCTGTGAGACCTGGCCATTGAGAGCAGAAGACATGAAAAGATTAGCTGTGTTCGATCATAGGTGTCTGCGTTCTATCTCCCGCGTGAAGTGGTATAATAAGTTGAGCAATACTGATGTTATGCTATAGTCGAGTGCTAGGTAAGGAGGGGAAATCATTCGACGAGACTGTGAAATTACATCGACTGAGATGGTTAGGACATGTGTTACGTATGCCTAGTCATCGCCTTCCTCAACAAAGGGCATTGTTAGTTGATATAGGGTCAGGCTGGAAAAGAGTTAGCGGCGGTCAAACGAAAACATGGCTTCACCAGTCAATGAAATCTACGACAGTTAGTCTAAGCCAAGTAGAGAGGTGTAGACTTCCTGGTTGGGGTCCTCGGGACAGTAAAAACCAATGGTTGGAAACAATTGGTGACATGGCTCAAAATCGTTCTCAATGGCGCAGATGCATCCACTCCTTGTGACTTGTGATTTCCAATGAAACTGTATTGTTCTTCGTTATTACTATTCCTTTGTCTCACACCTCTGTTTACTGTCTCTATTATGCATTTCTTCTCTTGCTCTGTCTGCCACAAGCAGGGAGTGTGGCGACTTGAACTGGCGCACATATGTGCAAAGTTCTATGTCGAAAGCAGGCAGACAAACAGAAGGTTGAATGTGACACATAGTTTGAGAATAGCTGTGTTAGATATTGCATTGGAGGCGAAGTTTCTGATAATAACGAATTAGAAGCTGGAAGTGGTACGGAGAGGTTGAGATTTTAAACAGTAAAGAACGGTTGACGAAGGTGATTGTAAAAATAAAAACGAAATGGTTTATATATATGAGAATAAATGGCGAAATAGTTTGTGACACTGTGTACAGACGAC